TGCTGGCTCAGCGGCAAATCTGTGGGCTATTAACATAAAAATTGGGTTTCGATAGCTTTGCGCTTTACAATAAACAAACCTCGTTTTTCTTCTGTATGAAGTAAATTTCTTTATCTGCATTTCTGTAAATAACAATTCTTAGTTTGTTGACCCTATTTGTAATTATGGTAGCTTATAGATAACACATATTAATCGATTCTATGCATTTTAACCTGTGGTTGATTTAATAAACTGATTGTTATTAAAATATCATATTATAGCTGAGACATGAAAATACAGTTCCAACAGTTTAGTTTGTTTTATTTATTTCAGATAGTTGCGCAAAGGCAGACAAAGGCTATCTTCGCTAGCCGTCTCATTTTGTAGTGATAGACTAGAGAGAAAACAACTACTTAACACCATCCACCATCAAATCTTAAGTCACTCTTTTACCAACGAATAGTGGAATTGACCGTCATGTAAAAAGCCTCAACAGCTGAATGGGCAAGCATGTTCGGCGACGGAACTCGAACCTGTGACCCGCAGATCGCGAGTCGAGTGCCCTAACCATCAAGTTATGCTAGACATTTAAAGGTGTATTGATTAACAAAGGAAGTGGACGGGCTTACTCTAGAGTGGTGGTCAAATTGTAACCGAGATTCCTTTGTAAGCCCAATAAATAGTTAAGAAATTACTGATAGATGCTTGAAATAAACAAGTAGGACGTTTTAACTGTGGAACATGGCATTTAGTAGAGATATACGTGTGTGTATGCCATTACATCACAAAAATAAAGGAGACCTATAATAGGCTAGTAAAGAATGACGTGATTCAAATTATTGTCAGTTATATCGTGATTTGCTACCACACACACACATATTAGTACTATCAACATATTTTGTTTTTATGTATTAAAATTTTTATTTTGTTATAATAATATGTTAATAAAAGAGAAATAATTATTTTTGATGTTCAAATATATAACAAGTAGAGAAAAGGATTCTACTGCAAATCATAGAATATCAAACTTTCAAATTGATCTGGGCCAAGCGTGGCCTAGTCGTTAGCTTGTCGAGAGGCCCAAGGTTCAAGACGTAATGTAGGTGTATACGCTCCACACTTTTAGCTGAGAGAACGTGATAAAAATAATGGACAAGCCCGTTATTTGGTGAAAAGAGTTAGTTAAAGCCTTTGTGGCAGTGAATACTTCATGCTAGTTGTCTGTACTTTAGTCAGTAGTTTAAAATTATGGACGGCTATAACTGAACCCTAAAAGTTTCAGAACTGGACGTTTAGCCTACATGCGCATAAAGAACGCTTCATTCTGAAAGTCCCGATTCCAAAAAGAATATTGTCAGGTTATCAATACGAATGCTAACTAGTACAGCAGTAGCGGGATGGTAAATGTGTCAATTCACTAAGTATTTAACATTTTTCCCATTATGACTCGAAGAACTTCTCTCTCAATTCAATCTCTGGTTTACGTTACAGTGTGAGGATCACGTTTTACCTTCTGCAGAATTAATATTTTTTAACATCTAAATATATTCAAGACTAAAGCACACCGTAAAGCTGTTATCCAAGTGAGCATACACAATTCTATTTACATAGTGACAGAAATAGGATACAACGTTGAGACACAAGGGTCGGTCAATAAATCTACACAAGAAATAAATATGTCTGAGAACAATGAGCTCAGTGTGTGTCTAAAAAGTCAACATGTAAAAGAGAAGTTGTCCGTATACAGAGACATCTCAAAAGTAAATAGATACCATGATTTTTTTCCATAGTCATTTTTCTCACATTATCAACTAGACAAAAATGTTTACAAATGTGCATCAGTACTTAGTCGATTTGCCACTAACATTTTTCAGTGCTTTAACTCGTTCTGCAAGTTTCTCCTGTAGGATCTTGACCCAGGCTGCACGCAAAACATCAAGTAGCTCGCCACGGTACGTTGGTTTTCTGGAACTTCTTCTCACTGCTAGAGCAGGTATAGCCCAGACATGCTCGATGGGGGTTCATATCAGGTGACTGACTTGGCCATGGGAGCCGTTGGATGCCTTTCTTAACTAAATGACTATTGAATAAACATCGTGGTGTCTATTTACTTTTGAGATGTCTCTGTACATGAAGTGGAAGTCTTTTATATTGGGATGGCTGAGTAAAATATATTTTATAGGCTTTGTTTGTTTTTCGAATTTCGTGCAAAGCTACTCGAAGGATATTATCTGCGCTATCTGTCCTTAATTTAACAATAGATGGGAGGTAGCCACTCAACACCACCCACCGCCAACCCTTGGGCTACTCTTTTACCAACTGATAGTGGGACTGACCGTCGTATTATAACGCCCCCACGGATGAAATTGCGAACATGTTCAGTGAAGGGGATTCAAACCCGCAACCCTCAGATTGCGAGCCGAGCGCCCTATCCACCAAGTCATGCCAAGCCTATCTTGAAGGAAATGTACTGGTTAGTGGGGAAGACCTGTCGAAGTAATGAACATTCTGAAGACAACGAACTGTTTAGTTGTGAAGAACTGCCTCAGTAATATACATATTGAAGACAACGAACTGTTTAATGATGATGAACTGCCTTAGTAAAATACACCATGAAGACAAAAGATTGTTATTGGTGAATAATTACCTGAGTAATATACATTTTGAAGACATCGGACTGGTTAGTGATGAAGGCTTGCATTAGTAAGATACATTAAGATAACTGAATGGCTAACGGTGAAAGATTAGTAAGACGAGTCCCGAGAACAAATGATTGGGTGGTAAATAACTGCCTGATTCTTTTTTAAGATTTGCATCATAGGATACGTCTTGAAAAATATACCTGGACAGTAGTGAAAACTTTTAAGCAAATTGAATGAATAAAGTTTTATTATTGAAAGATAGATGAGAAAACAACTTTCTTTTTTAATGTAAAGTCTTGTCATAGTAAGATACACATTAGTAAATGTGAAGTCTTATCGTAGTAAGAAAAGTATTGAACACAGTTAACTGGTTAATGTAAAGTCTTCTCTTAGTAAGTTACAGATTGAAGACAATTAACTAGTTAATGTAAAGTCTTCTCTTAGTAAGTTACAGATTGAAGACAGTTAACTGGTTAATATAAAGTCTTCTCTTAGTAAGTTACAGATTGAAGACAGTTAACTGGTTAATGTAAAGTCTTCTTTTAGTAAGTTACAGATTGAAGATAATTGACTGGTTAATATAAAGTATTCTCTTAGTAAGTTACAGATTGAAGATAATTGACTGGTAAATGTAAAGTCTTCTCTTAGTAAGTTACAGATTGAAGATAATTGACTGGTTAATATAAAGTCTTCTCTTAGTAAGTTACAGATTGAAGATAATTGACTGGTTAATATAAAGTCTTCTCTTAGTAAGTTACAGATTGAAGACATTAACTTGTAACTTACTAAGAGATACTTTATATTAACCAGTCAATTATCTTCAATCTGTAACTTACTAAGAGAAGACTTTACATTAACCAGTTAACTGTCTTCAATCTGTAACTTACTAAGAGAAGACTTTATATTAACCTATTGAAGACAGTTAACTGGTTAATGTAAAGTCTTCTCTTAGTAAGTTACAGATTGAAGATAATTGACTGGTAAATGTAAGGTCTTCTCTTTGTAAGATAAACGCTGAAGAGAACTGACTGATGAATCTAAAATTTTGTTTTAGTAAGATAAACATTGAAGACAGTTGGATGGTAAATACAGTGCCGCATCTGTGTTTGATGTCACCCTGTGTGACATATTAATTAGTCGCACCCCCAGTCCAACCCATTAATTCGCGTTGTTAGTCAATCGAGCAATCGGTGTCCCCCCCTACCCTTCGAGTTGGTGCGCTTTGCAAACGTATCGATGGCACTACCCACGGTATGGCCCTGGGTGAATTTAAGATTTTGTTTAAGGAAGATACACACTGTATACCATTTCTAGTTAATGTAAACTATTATATTAATAAGATACACACTGTATACAGTTTCTGGTTAAAGTAAAGTTTTGTCTAAACCCATTGAATGCAATTTCTGTTTGATACTGAATACTTGTTTAAGGAGGAGTAAATTAAAAATAAGCATTTTCAGCTGTTTTCCATACACTAATCTTACCTGTCGTTCCATTCTTGAAAATAGCTAGCTTAAGTTGTAGCACATATATAGAGCAAAGGCTGTTTAGTGAAGGTACGCTCAGTGCTGAATGCTAACGTGGGAAGTAAACATGGGGTTTTGTATGTAAGGTTGCGCAAACTATTATGGGATGATACATTGTCTGCTCCGTCATGGTGTCGCAGCTATGATCTATCACGCTTATTTCACGTGCAATGACGACTTTAATTAGTTATTTGTAAAACAGCATTAGGAATTATATGTCTCCTTCAAACGTGAACAAGTACACAGTTTCTTCGTAAAAATCTCTACAATGAATATTGTACAGGGTGTCCAAGAAGTCTGGACCATAGGGAAAAATACACAATTATTCTTTATTTATTTATTATAGAAACTGCATGCCATTGACAGTCATACACATACCAATTATTGGTATGTTGTGCCCTCAAGGTTTCTTGTTTCCTGAAATATGTACAACTGACATTAGAAATGTGTTTGTTTAACTTTAAGAATATAATGTCTATTTTCCCTATAGGCCCAGACTTCTGGGACTTTCTCGACAGGCAACGAAACTACTGGTTCCAAGATCGGTGAAATGCTCTTATTCGTTTCAAAACACTCTTATATTCTGAAGACAAATGAAAACAACATACAAGTCAAGAGTTTCAAACAAGTGTTAAATTTTAGTTACCGTATTGTTATATATCTGCTTGTTTGATAATTTCCCGTAAAAATCCTCTCCGAGAAACGTCAGCGATACAAGTCCTTTCTTAATTAAAACTAGTTTATTCTTCCTCGTTACA